AATAAAGAAAACACATACAGCAACTGCAACCGTCAAGATTACAGGGTCAAATCAGCGGGAGGAGTCCACAGTATCAGCACATCTGGTTGATATTGTCGGAGCACACTGTCGTCATAACGGCTTGTAGCCATCGCCGTCGGAGAGGGTCTGAGCCGGGCTTCTAAAAAAGAAAACAGTGGGAGGCCTCGTACACTTCACGGATTTAAGTTTAAAATTCGAGTTGAAATGTGACATTTTCTGAGAACTTTTTACTATAGTATAAAAAGTTAGATGTAATATTTTCTGAGAGCTTTTTTACTATAAAAACCTAAAACTGAAAACTCAAATCGGTGAAATGAACGAGACCGAGAATTGACGTATATCGTAAGCTCTACGTCCCTTAAATTTTAGTTACCAAACCGACATTGCCAATTCATTTTTTTTTAATTTATTGCAACTTTTTCCATCGCGATTGATAAACTTTTATCTTTTATATCTTTTACAATTTAATGATGATAACGAAGTGGAAAAAAGCTCTACGTCCCTTAAATTTTAAGTATTTTTTTTGGTGGAATAAGTATTTATATAGTTTATTATAAAAAAATAAGTATTATATAGTTAACATTAGAGAATTTCTTTTTTTTTTCTTTTCTTTTTATGAGTTTAACATTAGAGAATTTAGGATTCTTAATGATTTTCTAATTTTGCAGCCCTTATTGAGAGTTATTACAAAATAAACTTATAATCTCCAACTACAAACAATAATATTATTTGAACAAAAGCCATTACATTGAAATAGATGTCAATAATCCTTTTTTTTTTTTTTTGCTCAATCAATAATCCTATTTAAACATGTTAGATTGTTAGTCGATAAAAAAAAAAAAAAAAAAAAAAAAAACCCAACCAACAACAACGCTACTTCAATTTTGAGGTCGGGAGAGAAGATCAAACAAGCAACAAATCTGTGAAGAAATGATGATGAACACACGCCTAACAAACAATCTCTCTCTCTCCGGTGCTAGGGTTTTCCTTTTTCTTTCACGAATTAAATTTCAACAAATTAAAACAAAAAATAAAAAAATAAAAGCGTAAATCTTGAACCAGAAAAACAGGATTAGAGAAAACAGCACACGATTAGATGAACATATGCGTAACAAACAATCTCTCTTTAGCGGCTAGGGTTTTCCTTTTCTTTTCACGAATTAAATTCAACAAATAAAAGAAGAAAAAAATATGCTTAAATATTGATTCAGAAAGACAGAATCAAAGAAAAGCAGCACAAAAATAAAGATAACAGGAATAACAAAAAAACACGTACGGCAATAGCTATCGTCAACGTTACAGACTGATCTAGACGTCGCCTTCGGAGAGTTTTGTTGGGGCGAATTGTCGCGGGCACAGGTTGTATCCATCGCCGCCGGTGAGGGCTTCTGAGGAAAAGTAAAAACGGGATGATTGAGAATAGGCGCAGAAAGAATGCCATAATGCCGTATATAGCCCCTTTTATATAAGTTTTTATTTATTTATTTATTTAGCTAATCTCCCTTTTATGTAAGTTACCGAACCGACGTACTCAAAAAAAGAAAAAAAAAAGAAATGTGTTTGATCAATCTGCAGATCATTATCAAAGGATCTGCTTGATCCTAAATGAGATCCGAAAACTCCATCAAAATATTTGGATGTTGGGAAGAATGATGGACAACTCTCGTTATCCCTCTTTGCAACCTTTGACAACGTTGCGGCTTTCGCTTCTCCGGCACCGGCAAGTACATTCACTCGAAGCCGCAAAAATAATCAAAAGGAAACGAGAAAAATATAATCATGGCTAATTTTTTCTATTTTTTACTTCTTATCAGATATTTCATCTAGATTTTAAAATAACATGGGTAAGATTTTTGAAAACTCAAAAAGTGAAGGTTGGATGGTTGAAACTCTCTGGAGATCCATATGGTTGTTTGGATTGAAAAAATGAAGGAGTAATTTTTAACGTATAAAAGAAAAACGTACCCGGTGAGGATTAATGAAGACGAGAGAACGTCTTGTTTACAAATCTTTGTAGTTTCAAGAGTTTTGCCAGAGTTCACGGTTTTGTAGTTTCTGTTTCTTTGTTTTCTGTGTCTGTCCGTTGGAATTGAAGGAAGAAAGGATCGGTCCTTCACTTGCTGATCGTTCGCGAGTCGAACTCGCTCTCTTGCCACGCCTTTCACTCACTCGCTTGAGTCGGACTCAATCGTTTGGAGGATCATTCGTTCTTCACTCTCTTTATATTACCCGCAGGGAGCGCAGCAACCAAGGTGCATATTATCCTGTAGAAACAAGCGAAGCGTAACGATTCGTACTACCGGAAAAGTTTCGCTAACCGGCAGGCAATAGAATCCGCAGATAGGCGCAAGCAAGTTCTTAAAATGCAAATAACTAAAAAAATTCTAAAGATTAGCAGGAGGGGTTAAACTTATTGTATTTATATCTTTGTTTTGTAAAATTTTACAAATCAAATAAAAAAGAAATATTGACCTTTCTTCTTGAACACTCTATGTTTTTCAGGTCCTTCTGCACTCACTTTGTGCTTTTTCTTCTTTTGAAACATATTCTTTTCTTTTACGCAACATTAGTCTTTTCTCCAGTTCCACCAGCGGCAGAGACTATTGGATAGGTACCCTCAGCAGTTGCTTCAGCTAACCAATTGGAATAGGTACAACTGGTAAAGCTACAGCCGACCTTGCTACTAAATCGACTTGAGTGAATACGAGCCCTTGTCCCTGGCTACAATGGGTACGGGGATACGAACACTTTGACATTGATACGGTAATCTTAATAAATATTTTTTTTAAGTGTATGAGTTAAAATTTTTATATTTTATTTTTGATTCATAATATGTTTAATTAAATAATAAAATTAACAAAAATATATTTATCAAAAATAAAAAATAAAAATTTAACTCATACACGCACAAAATTAAATTCTCCATTTTTTCGTACATTAATCAGCACTACACTTTTATAACTGAGAGGCAGTGGCGGAGCCACGTTGGGCCTAGGAGGGCAGCTGCCCCTGCCCAAGTGGCTCCTTACAGCTCAAGTCCAATAAAAATTATTTTTACAAAGTTTTTTCTAATTCCCCCTCCCCTGAAATTTTCAATTTGCAATATTCGTGTTAATATTTTTAGAAAAGTTACGATTGCCTTTCTACCGCCGTTGGTGGTGCTTATCATACTCCGGCATTAAAGCTTTTCCAACTCAAACACACTTAAGATTCCCCCGAATCATGAATCAAGCAAATTTTTTTATTTTGTGTCTAACTACATAGAGACGCTGAGATGTGAAAAAGGCATTGCCTAGAGACAAAAAAAAAAGAGAGAGAGAGAGAGGGAGAGAGAGAAAAAGAGTAATCTTGATATTCTCTGGATTTTCTTTGATTTTTCTGATTGTGGAATATAGGAGTGACCTTTCCACTTGCATGAAAATATCCAATTTTATTTTCTGAATTGTTGTGGGTTTTCTCGTATTTGTTTCACGGAGTTGAACTATGAATCAAATTCTACAAATCCCACGGGGGAGGGCAAGGATCTACAATATCCGGACAAACATCTGTCTTGAGTTTCATTTGAGTTCTACCATTTTTGTTCAGTTATCTTGGTGATTTTCCATTTGGGCATGGCAAAAAATGTATGCTTGCTATTGCGGAAGCACTTCCACAGTTCCACTTCCAGCATCCTCCGTGGGATAACTTTTCTCAGAAGAAGCAAAACTCCAACTGCAGTGGGTTTCTTGGCATGGTTGAAGATTACCATTCTAAACAATTAAGGCGTTCTCGAAGGGGAACCCATTCGTCTTTTTCAGAAAAAGGAAAAAAAAAATGAGAGAGAGAGAGAAGAAAACAATGAAGACATATGCATTTTACCAATTTGAATTTAAAATTTGAGTTTTACTACAGTAAAAAATTCTAAAAAACAGTCACATTTAACTTTTTTGTTACAATTAAAAATTCTCATATAAAAATAACATATCAACTCGAATAAAAACTCAAACCAGCGAACTAAACTAAACAGGTGATAACTCCATGAAATTGAGTTATTTAGCCTCTTTTGTGGATTAAAAAATATACTTGTTCTCGAGAATTTATTTAGTTTTTAATATTTTTACCTTATTTTTATTTCATTTTATTTTATTTGGAATTAATTTTATTTTTAGTTTGTTTTAAGTATTTTTATTTTATTTTATTTTATTTTTATTTAGTTTCCTTCCAAAATAATTATTTTCCTCATTATGTAATTTAATTTTGACAATAGGTGGGCTTAAGTGCAAATTGAAATTCAAATTGGGAGAGAAATGCAAGAGAAAATAAGTAAAATTCAAATTTGAATTAACCTCAAAATGGAAATCCTTCGCACGAGTGAAACCAGCATGAAACTCTACACTCCAATCGTTGGATCGCAGCGTCAACGGTCCAGATCGGGCGCGTGGAATCACCCCAGACAGGAGCGCGTCTCCGCAGGATCGCGTCAGTTCTTCGGCCAATCCCAGCAAGCCGCGTGATCCGGTGCGGCGATTCCATCCAAGTCGCGTGAAGCCTCCCTCTCTCAGCGAACCAGAGAGCGCCGCGTGTCAATTCAATCCAAACCCTCCAATTGAGGCGCGCCACGTCTCCGAACGCACTCCTCCAGTTGAGCTCAGTTAGTAGCTCTCCTTTGCACACGAAATAAAGGGTTTTTGAACCCAGATAATTCCAGCCCTCAGACGGACAGCCAGGGAGGAAAAGAAACAGAGAAAAACCCGAGAGAAAAAGAGTGAAGCAATTTAATAAGGCTTTTCAGCCAATTTTCCAAGAGAGAAAAATCCCAAAACAAATAATTTTATTTTTAGTTTGTTTTAGGTATTTTTATTTTATTTTATTTTATTTTTATTTAGTTTCCTTCCAAAATAATTATTTTCCTCATTATGTAATTTAATTTTGGCGATAGGTGGGCTTAAGTGCAAATTGAAATCCAAATTGGGAGAGAAATGCAAGAGAAAATAAGTAAAATTCGAATTTGAATTAGCCTCAAAATGGAAATCCTTCGCGCGAGTGAAACCAGCATGAAACTCTACACTCCAGCCGTTGGATCGCAGCGTCAACAGTCCAGATCGGGCGCGTGGAATCACCCTAGACAGGAGCGCGTCTTCGCAGGATCGCGTCAGTTCTTCGGCCAATCCCAGCAAGCCGCGTGTCCAACTTGTCCCCCACTCAACAGCTCGCGTGATCCGGTGCGGTGATTCCATCCAAGTCGCGTGAAACCTCCCTCTCTCAGCGAACCAGAGAGCGCTGTGTGTCAATTCAATCCAAACCCTCCAATTGAGGCGTGCCACGTGTCCGAACGCACTCCTCCAGCTGAGCTCAGTTAGCAGCTCTCCTCTGCACACGAAATAAAGGGTTTTTGAACCCAGATAATTCCAGCCCTCAGACGGACAGCCAAGGAGGAAAAGAAACAGAGAAAACCCCAAGAGAAAAAGAGTGAAGCAATTTAATAAGGCTTTTCAGCCAATTTTCCAAGAGAGAGGCATGACTGATCAGGACTCTTTTCCAAGACCAAGATTCCAATGGGTCTAAGCTAAAACAATCCCTCCCCTGCAATTAACATATGGGCAAATTGATCAAGATCTTATGTCCAAACAGGATACTTTATCAAGGGATTGTTTGGTTGGAGGATTCGTACCCCGATTCAACTCATGGTTTATGGTTCGCTACAGTATTTTCTTTCACAAAAAATACACGTAAATCGAAAATAATTCTAATCTCATGATTCTAATCCATGAACCAAACGTCTCCCAAATGGTGCCCTCAAAATCTCAACGGTTAGAGAGAGAGAGAGAGAGAGACAATATCTTATAATACTTGCACGTTTTTCTTTTATTTCTTGGAGATTTCTACGGTAGGGTATACGTACTGTATGTTCTTAACGCTATGTTTGATTGAAATCACAGCAAAACGAAAAAGCATGCAAAAGTGACAATTTAATACAGATTTGAACGTTCAAAACAGAACCCTACTCGTAGCGCATGTAAAAAGCTCATTCCTCTTTCCCCCTCAACTCACTGGAATAGTTGAGCTAGGCAAAGACTACCTTATTAAAGATTCGTTCCATTATTTGACTTTGCAAAATAGAAAACATAAAAGACTTGAACTTACGCAAATCATTCAAGGAAATATTGCTGATACTTTCTCCGGTCTTTATGAGGCGAATCCTCCCTGATAAGGTGAAAGTTTAGCAGCATTATAAGTTAGGAAGTCTACTGTGCAATAACAATATATCAAACTAAGTACAGTACTTGAGTTTATTTGTCATCCATGAACTATAACTTTCTTATTCCTTTTCTCTCTTTTTCCCCTTTTCTTTTGAGTTTGCCTCAAGGAGGAAGCGTCAACTTTCCACGCGAAATAGACGTATTACAACTTCGATTCACCATTACAAATTTTTTGTATAGACAGACACGATTAAAAAAAGTAAACCTTTGCCTAGGTGCACACATCCCTCAACAAAATGTTAGAACACCGTGAACTTCAATATAAATTTCCATCAGAACTCTTGAGGTAAAGAGGGCAACCTCTAATATATAAACCTTTGTCTAGACGCCCTATAAATGGAAGTACGTCTCCATAAATTTAGACTGATAAATCTGTATCATGATTCATAGTTCATACTGTGTAAACAATATGCATGTCGACGCATATCAATTAATTATTAAACTGCTCATGTGCCAGAAATACAAGGTTAGAAACCTGCAATCTTCCATAAGCTGCACCATCTCTCTCACCCTCCAAGGAGGAGATCGATTAAGCTCAAAAGTCAAACCAGAAGCAACACTATTTTCTCATCATTATTCCAGTGAAAAAGGATGGAATTGAGGAAGGCAAAGCACCATAAAAAACAGTAGAATTAACATTAAGAGAAAATGACAATATTGGGAGACGTACCATCACGACGAACACATATCTCTGCAATGTATTTGACTTCACCATTGATGTTGTCATTGTAAACTCTTGTTTCGATGTCACCCTCAACATAAACCGATGAGCTGCATTTAACGTTTAATGTTGGAGCTATTCTTTTCACTTGAAAATAATAATAATAATAATAATAATAATAATAATAATAATAATAATAATAATAATAATCTACTTTAGATGTGAATATGTACTTCTTAACAATTTTTTGTACTGCATAAGCCCCAAGTGCCTCGTTGTGGACAGCGATTCGGTGCCACTGAGCGGGTTTTGGCAGCCCCTTTTCTGGAATCACTCTTTGGTCAAACATGCCTCCTGTCCCAACTGTAAAAATGGTTATATTCCGCCCGTTTCTTAAGAGCTTCTGCACAGGAGGTTGCCCGACTTTTCCACAAATTATTGCCTGCATATAAGTTCACAAGTGCCCAAGTTATAAAGAAACGATGAGAACAATAACCTGCCACTTGAATGCTCAAATAAATGAGTAAAAACAAAATTGCGGGTTCTTAAATGACGTGAAACTGATAAAGTTTATTACTTGGCTAATAATTTGACTAAGAATATGATTCCACAACTCATCATAAGTTATTTCATCCTTTGGAAACCAAAAAAAAAAAAAAAAGATGAAAATGTAGTCTATGCCAAGTAAAATTCTTAAAAGAAAAGGCCAAAAGTTCCACAATCATGTATCTTAATTCAAGAATCAAAATCATCTTTACCCTATGCACACCCCGGAATTCCCAACCTTTACCGGGATTCACTCCCTGAGGTTTCGATTCTGTTTCCGATTTGTAACCAAGTAAGTCGGCATACTCTTCCTCTGCTTCATTCTTTCCTTCCTCCTTATTTTCGCCACCGAAAGACTCAGTGGAAAACCACAGCTTCGAGCTTCTCTCCGCGCCTGCAGCTAGAATCAATCAAGAAAGGCATCAGCATAATAAGTAATCCAAAATGCCTAAATTAAGCATTACCAATATATATATGTACACACACAAACAGAGAAAATGCATTACATTACTCAAGAACCTTATGTACTTATCACCTATTTTTCAGAAAACGCCCTCTAAGAGAAAACAAGACTACTACGTGATCATCTCATTAAACGTACAAAACATGATATTTAGACCTAAACCCATTTAGTATATCAACCTCAAAAGCGTACTAACACCAAATTATTTCAAAAAAAATAACCACCAAAACCAAATTAGATATGGAAAAAAAAAATACTCTACCCATGTTGAGTATTAAGTAAATAACTGTTTCAGAGAAACCCACATATAGATTGACCTGAAGATGTTGTATTATTGTGTAAATGTAAAAAGAATAAACATATCTATATATATATATATATAGACACACACACACGCGCGCATATATTGAGAGAGAAACAAACCTAGTGAGGAACTGGGCGATGCAGGAACAGATATTCTCAAACATCTAGTAAGTCTCGCGGAAGAAGCACTCATTTTGAGAGAAAACTGAGTATTTTTCAGAATGTGAAGAGTGAAAATGAAGAGCAAGACGACGCCGGGGGTACAAGGCAGGGTTTTAATTAAGACCAGCAACATGAGTCACGACACGATTCGAAAACGACACGAATTTTATGGGTTATAGTTGAGAAAAAAGAGGTTCGGGTCAGAATTGAGTCGACCTGAAATTGACACGAAAAACACGGGTCAATTTCAGGTTAGACCCGCTTAACCCGAACACGACACGAAACTAGTAAAAAACTAAAAAATACATATATTTTTCATTTCATATTTTAAATTTTATTATGAACTTGTGATATCATGATAGTTATACTTAAAATCTTATACTATTATTTGCTTAATTTTAGTGGATGTTATTGTAATTTAGTATGTTATGAATTTTAAGTTATTTTTAATATGTAAAAAACTAAATAAAAGTATACAATTTTCGTGTCAATTTCGGGTTCACGGGTTAATTTCGTGTCACGGGTTATTTTCAGGTCGTGTCGTGTCAACTCGTAAAGTGGTCGTGTCGTGTTCGTGTTGCAGTTTTTAAAAAATTTTGTGTCACGAGTCGTGTTCGAGTTGACTATAAATTTAGAAAAAAAATGATCAAAATACGACACGAACACGACGCATAACACGAATTACCACCCCTAGTTTTAGTGAGAAATGGGCAACCGGGGTGTTTCAGTTGGGCCCGAATCGGGCTGTAGTATAGAGAGTTTTGTATGGATCGTGGATCCAAATTGCTTGTGGTTTCTTTTCTTTTTTTTCTTTTTTTTTTTTTGAGAAAATTGCATAATTTATCTTAAGGAGAATTTTTACTCATTATTCTTAATTAATACTCTTTTACTAGTATATTCTTAATTAATACTCTTTTACTAGTATAATTATTTGACTAAAAATGTTATTAATAAAAAATAAGAGGTAGAAATCCTGAACCATGCACGTTTAAAGGATATTTATCTCATTTTCTCTTTCTTTTTTTGCAAAGAAAATTGTTAAACTTACCCTTAAAAGAGCATGGGTTTAAATTTTTACTACTTACTCTTAATTAGTACCTTTAGTTATTTGATTATAAAAAGTATTAATTAAAAATAAGAGATAAAAATCAAGACTCATATACTTTTCCTCTACCAAATAAGAGAAAAGTACATGGTTTGTAATAGTGTTGTGCATGTATATTATTTATGTCATCTTAAATAATTGAGTGTCATCATAACCTTTTATTTTATATTTATTAATTAAATAAAAATTATTTATTTTTAAGTGGAGGGACATCAATAAAAAATTTTTACAATCTTGGGTGGTATTTTGGTTTTTTCTCTCGAAATAATTACTCAAAATGAGCAGCTCGGTAATTTGCAGACACGCAGTTCGGTTTTGTAGAGCGTGATTTGAGAGGAAAAAAACAAGAACTGAAACGGCATGTTATACATAATTGAGTGGGGCAATTTGGACCTAATTAGGACTTATCAAAAAATAGAAAATAATGAAGAAAACATATTTTTAAAGGTAATTTGTGGTTAGTTTAACTTATAAACTTTTTAAGCTAAAAATATCATATTTAGAAAAATTCAACCACATAAAATAAAGGGAAGAAAAAAAGAGAGTTGCATGACTGGTGGGGCGGGGCAATTTGGTTCCATTATGCATCCCAGAGAGTCAGTTTAGCAATTTGATGATGTGGCACACAAATAGTGGGGGCGGAGAAGGAGGATAAAAAATGTTTTCAATTTTATAACATTATCAATCTATCTATTTTGTGGTTATTGAGATATAATCCTTCTAAATTTACCCTTTCTACATAGGTAATTATGAATTTTATTTAATTAATTTCAAGGAACGATCAACAAAGGATAGAAATATTTATATGGATCACTTTATGGATTTATGTGCAAGTATCATAACTTATAGATATTCTTTTACTTTTATGCCATGTAGAATGGACATGTATTTAATCAACTTTTTTTTCACTTTGAGGGATTTGAGACAAATAACACAACCAATTTTATGGGAATAAAATGATTGATATTTTATTAGGATGGAGATCTTGTTTTTAACTAAAGGTAGTATCGAACCAACATCAACATTAAAAGAAGAGGGGTGGATCTATTTCTAGGCTATGCGTCTGCAACCACAAAAAGAGAAGCTTTTGCTTAAAACATATAGTAGAAAACTTGGGTTAAAAAATAAAATAAAAATAAAAATAAAAATAAAACCACCACTCTAACAATGTTGTCATGATAATGAAGAAAAATGAAACAATTACCCCTTACAATATATGAGTTTAATATTTTTATCCGTTTTCTTAATTAATATTATGTAGTCAATAAAAAAAATATTAATTAAGAGTAGAATAAAAATCTTAAAACAATGTTTCAAATAGTGAGTTCACAAATTTTCTCTTCCATCATTCATTTATCAAACTTACCCAATTGAGAGTATAAGTTTGTTAAATATAATTGCTTGTGTAAATTGATATATAAGTTCTGCTATAGCACAAAACCCAATTTTAATTCAGCTACAATAATTTTTACAAAAAAACTTAAATTTCAAACGCTGATTTAAACTCATATACTAATCGGCCCTAAAAGTGTTGTTATAAGCAGATATAATGAGACTAAAAGCAACAAAAGAAGCCAAAGAGTCTCCAACAGAAGTGGGGAAAAACATCTGAGTTATTAAAATAGAATAATAACAACTTGGTCAATCCTCAAAGGTTACAATAGTCTCCAAGAGATATCACTTGCACGATGAAAAGCAAAACCAGGGGGAAGATCACCAAAAGGAGAAAAGAAAAAAAACATTAAATAAAAAAAGTTAATAATAGCTTAACCACGTCTACAAATTTGATTTCTGTCTTGGGTCCAGCAGCAGTTCAAACAGCTTGATCACAGTCAAAATTGGCCCGCCTTCAAGAAAACAACCAAAGCCTTCCCATCCTATGATCAACGTTCCGAGCCACGAGGTGGGTTTTTAGATGAGGACCATGATGACCTACCAGAGCTGAATGAAGGTCTCCGGTCATCACTACTACGCCACCTGTCGCTGGAAGGCTGCGAAGGCCGATTGTCGTGCCTGCCCCAGCGATCTGGTTCTGGAGTTGGAGCCTGTGCAGAGCCTTCAGGGTTTTGCAGGCGGAACCTAGGCACGTATTTTCCAGTGGAGGGTGGTGGTGGTGCTGCACCACCATTAGTGGCTGCTGGGATGGCGGCAGCAGCATCAGCAGGAGCAGGAACTGGCTCACTTGGATGAGCGCCAGAAGGAAGCTCGGCAGGCTTAGAAATTGCCTCCGGAGATCTCCCCAAGAGTGCTTCTCTCCTCAGCCTTTCCTTCTCTTCAAGTTCCCGCTCTCTCTGCCGCTGCTTCTCAGCAATCTCGTCTAATTTCGCCTTCCGTTCAGCTTCTTCCTTCTTTCTCCTCTCAGCCTCTGCATGAAACAAACAAGAGATGAAATATGGTCTATAATTATGAAATCAAATCGTTCTTTTATTTTTCTTTGCCACGATGGTTAGGAAAAAAAGGAATAGATCGTAAACAACTCAATAAATGATGACGACCAAACGAAAGAATTCTCGAAAATATTAATTTTAAGACCCCCAAAGAAAATATCAGTTTCAAGAGTTTGAAAATGAAAATGTAGTAAATTCTTCATATCTTTGGAAATATAGAACTTATCGAAGATTATACCTTCCCACTTGCGGGCTTCCTCCTCTTCACGAAGCTTTCTTTGTCTTTCTTCTTCAGACCTCACATAGAATATTTTCTTTCTCAAGGCCTCTCTCTCCTGCTTCCGAGCCTGAATCAGCTGGTTAATTTGCTCCTCTCTCTCAACTCTTCTTCTGTCAAATTCTGCTTGCCTGCGGCTCATCACCCTCTCTTGAAATATCATCTGTCGGAGGTGAAATATGAAAAAAAAGATGAACGTGTTTATGTCAAAATAACCACCCGCTGTCTTTACAATTTATTACTATCTTTGCAAAGATGCACTTGGAGCCATTGCATACAATTTATTACTATCTTTGCAAAGATGCACTTGGAGCCATTGCATACAATTTATTACTGAAGGCATATTCACTGGTACAAGTGAAGATTAAGATAGATGAAACTACACAAAGGAATTTCTGGGTCTTTTGGCTTATTGCACATCAATAATCAACCAGAGAGGAAAAGGGAAAGTGGAAAATGCAAGAGCAGTGAATGAAATGAAAAGCTATACGGTAGAATTTAAAACTTGCCTTATTGTCAACCATACGTGACAGTCTATTCTTCTCCTTCAAGTCCCCTTCATGTCGCTGTTGGCTCAGCTCAATTTCCAGCTGCAAAGCAGCAGAATGAATTACAGTTACTACTGAGTTCAAAGCCAACACATATACTTATGGTTGAATAATGCATATAACAAAGGTAGAAAAACAGCTAGAACTACACGTAGGCAAAATTTAAAAAGGAAGGGCATCTTTCTTAATTAGAATTCACAACAAACGAATTCATATATGTGGACACCTGTTGTTCACGTTCATTAAGTATTCTCTCTTCCACCAGGCGTTGCTGAAAAGCAGCTTCAATCAAGGGAGCAGACTCTTCTCTTTTTGCTCTTTCCAAATAATCCATTGTTTTAGCGAGTTTTTGCAGTTTCTTTTCCATTTCCTGTCTCTCCCTAACCTGTTCCTGCAGGGCCAACTCTAACAAATCTTTCTTTCCCCATATTCTCCTGTAAGAGTAAGAGTGACCATTGTCAGGATTGACCCTTGGTGAAAAAACAAGGAACATAATAACAGGATACCAATTTTCAACTCACTAGATCAGTTCTATTCTTAAGCTTTATGTGCTGTATCCGAAGCTGAGCCGCTTCTTCCTTCTCCCGCTCCTTTATTTCATTCAAAACCCGTTCTCTGTTCCGCATCTCAACTTCAGCTAAAAGCCTCTGCCTCTCTGCCTCCTCAGCTAACTTCTGCTCTCTCATCCTCTTGACTTCTTCTTCACGTTCCTTTGTGAGAAAACCGATCAATCGATAACATATCATTTATTTTG